CTCATTGCTTCAAGCTCGGAAGTGTGAGGAGTGGTCCCAAGTGGTAACGAGGGGCGCTGAGGTCCTTCCTGCCTTTTGTCCTTCAAGTGCCCCAGTCTCTCCTGCATAAATGCATGCTACCTTGTGACAATCGGGCAGCAGGAAAGGGGAGGGGAAGGGAGGGGAGGGGTGGTTCTGAAGGACTTCGTTTTCAGATTCCAGGTTTATCCCCTCTGGAAGTCTGGTGAAGTACAGGCCACTTCCAGGACTTTGTTTAAGGTGCCAAGGATAAGCACAAGGTTATTTTTAACTGTGTGTTTACACTTGCATGGCACACAATGCCATTTTGGCCTGGGCATCTCCTCATGCCATGGGAGTTCCCTGCAGAATATCCCCCACTGGATGGACATTGATCAGCTGCCCTTGGCTTCTTGGAGCCCTTGCCAAGCTATCGGCCTTTGAGGAGATCCAACAGGCTCCCTCCTCCCTCTCGTTGCTCCAGGGACCGCACAGAAGAACTTTGTCACGAAGGTGGTCTCCAGAGAGACTGGACTTCAACCGCCATCATCTCTGGTTAGCACATCTCTGATTATGTTTCTATTCAGCTGCATTCTAGGTGTATGCGTATAGTCCAACACATCTGGAGATTAATTGCTTGGGGACAGATGGCTCAGGAATGCAGCCTGGGTCCCACAAACTTCAGTGGTGCTAAGATTCCTCATATAAGAAATGGCAGAAACTAGGATTTTCCACTCCATCAGTCCAAAATATAGTCTAGGGGAGGCCTGCATGACACGTGGCCCACAAGCTGTATGCAGCCTGCCAAGCAGCCCGGTGTCCCGCTTGTGTTTTCCGCAAACTCAGTAAATCCACCGCTGCCCACATTGCCACCTCTGGGAAGAATTAGCTGCCACCACCCTGAAAGACATGCTGCCAAGTGCCCCCAGGCCTCACTGATGCTGCCAGCTCCATCATCGCCACTGGGCCACTAGCTACCAAGCGGTGAGAGCCGTGCCAGTTATTCCTTTGCGGCCCACAATTATTTCTAGTTTATCCACGTGGCCCTTCCCCTCTATGAGCTGTGCAGGCCTGGTCTACGGGGAGATTTTCAATGAAAATGGCACAATTTGCATGTCACCTTTCATTGCTTAAAGTCTATTTTACGCTTCTAGAAAAAGTGTAATAAGCAATTATGAAAAATTAGGGAGAAACCAGAAAAGAATCAGGAGATGGTTACAAACAGACAAGGTTTAGCAAACATGCCAACAAGAAAAATCTGGAAAGACTGATTCGTATTCTCATGGCCCCTGAAATACAACGATCCACCATCACATCCCTGCTTGCAGAAGACACCTCTTCACAGTCTCCAAATGGCCATTTACTATTAGCCAGAGCTGTTCCTGCTGCTGGGGGGTGGGGGGCAAATGACACACACAAAGGGAGGAGTCCCCTCCTCTCCTCTTGGTATTAGCCCTTCCCAGTTCTACTACACTCCTCTCGTGCATACATGCATCCTTGGGGACAGGCAGAAGCAGGACCCCTAAATTCATTCCTGTCCTGACTCAGGCCTCATAAATCCATTGGGAGTCCCGGCTAAGAATGAAAAGGCAGGCCATGAACCGATGGAGGGAGCAGCCCAACTGGCCATTCAGACGGTTCAGCTCACGCCTGTCAACTGAAAAGAAAACGGCTGTGAAACAGGTTTGAATAGCATAAGACCACCTGCCAGGAGACCTTCACTCGGGACTACCTAGAGCTTGTTGGCAAATGTAGCTTTGAGGATAATGCCCAACAGCTCATTCAGCCTCAGAGGCTTGATGGCCTTTAGCTTTGAAGCACCAGTGGCTCCAGGCTCAGCCCAGGGACCCTGAACTTTGCTGAAGACCAGACATCCAGCTTAAGCTGGAGGGTCGGACTTCCCTCCCGTCCTTTAGGGAGCTACCTGTGTGCTCATTCCAGTCTCCTCTACTGGTAAGACTGACCACAATGAGGTCAAAAGAGTTGCGGCTGGCACGAACTGGAACTGAGCAGCCTATTTATTTCTGCCAAGACAGTCCCAATGGGAGGAAACTTTGCTATCACTTGTGGACTGCTTGAGCAGTCACTGTGGCCCACACAACTCCAGTGGAATGAGAGCAGTTGGACAGCAATTATGCTGCACTATAAAATGCCCTACTTGTGTTCTTACACAAACAACAGCATTTACACACAGATTATCATGGTCCCCAAACGCTTCTGGCCAAGCAGCTGGATGGAATCGATGCTGACCCTCTTCCCCTCCTCCTGCAGTAAAAGGTGCAGCAACCCTGCAGTTTTATCCTCTCTAAGGGCATCTGGACGGTGGCAAAATGTGGCCACAGGTGGAGAAGACCACGTGAGTGAACTTAAGTATACATGGTGTGTGTGGATATCCTCGGCTTGTTTAATCTTGCCTGCAGTGATTCTTGCCTACCTCCAGGCCTCTCTTCTCCCTGCTCTGGCAGACCCCTTCTTCCCTATTCCTTCAGAATGGCTTTAACATGTTCCTCATTTTTTTAAGGCTGCAGCCTTTGAGGGTTTAACTCCAGCACAGCGACAGCCTCAGACGCATGAGAAGCTTCCAACAAGGCCTCCAAATTAGCATAAAACCCAGGAACCCCAAGAAGCTCTCGGCTAGGTGGCTCCATTTTTTTGGAGCTCCCCGTTTTTGCAAGAAGGTACAAAGTGCCCATTCACTTCCCCTGCTAGTCCATTTTGGTTTGGGGTCCATACCATGCACATGTTTTCCCCCCCCAAATCATCCCTATAGATGCCACTGAAGTCCCCACCAGTGTAGAAATTGAGGGCATATTCACTGATCTGTACACAGGTGTTGTCAGCATCTCCATCGTGAGCAGAAGTCCTCCGGCTTGCAGTGGCAGATGTAAACCCCTCCTTTCTGCCCAGAATGTGCTGCTGAATGATCTTCCTGAAGGTGCAGCGGAACTCTCTGATCTGATAGGCATAGATCAGGGGGTTCACCACAGAGTTGGCATGGGACAAGATAATGGCCAAGTACATGACCCAGAGTGAAGGGCGCCTGCAACTCTTGCAGAAGAGAGTGAAGCAATTAATAACATGTAATGGGAGCCAGCATATAGCAAACACCCCAACAATGAAGGCCAAGGATTTTGCTGCATGGACCTCTCTTTGCAAAATGGATCGGGTTCGTTCCCCATGCATCATCTTGTTTTCTATCTGCTTGAGCTGTCGCCGGGCTGCCATGAAGATCTTCAAGTAGATACCAAACATCAGAAGGAGAGGAACAAGCACACATGCAAAGAAGTTGTAGTAGACCATATACTCCATGGTGACCACAGCCTCAAAGAGGCAAGCCACCATATTGCTGCTGCAGTTGATGGAGGACCCATTCTTGGCTTGCCCTTTCTCTTCCAGATTTCTTTCATGCCAGCCCAGCATTGGTGTCAGGCCAATAATGAAGGATAAGAACCAACAGATGGCTATGACTCCCTTAGCGCGTGAGCTAGTCACTAAAGCGTTGTACCTGAAAGGAGAGCAAAGAAAGACAACATATGAAATAAGATCCACATGGGAAAGGAATATAGCACAACTGATCAGTTGACAGAATTACTGAGGGCTTCCTGGTGTCCAGATTCCAGCTTCTTCTTGCTGCAAAGCCAGCTCCATCACAATAGGAGAAAGTTGGGATCTGGTGCTGTGAAAAGTGCCCAGCAGTGCTGCCGACAGACTGACAGTGGCACTCGATTCACTTCCCCAGCAGATCTCAAGCCATACCTGGCATTGCCCTCAGTTCCAAACAGAACATTCATTGGAGGTAGGTCAGAACTGAACTCCAATCTTGAGGACTCTTTAAAAAAAAAAACAAAACCTTTGCTAAGTTCACCCTAAAGGATCCTCTATCAACAGGAAGCCTGGAATCTGTGGCTCTATCCACACTGTAAATGAATCTTGGTTTTATCTGAATTTGTTCACTGTGGAGTTCCCCAAAGAGTTCTGGAAATTTAATCTCGGGAGAATACTAAGGATGCTCTGTCGGTGATCCCATTGCGCCCATTCACACGGCTACAGTTCCCAGTCATTCCCTGGGGGAAGGATGTGTTCAGTAATGTTTTTTAAATTTTGATGTTTTATGTATTTATATATATTTATTAAAACCATAAATGTTTTATGTATTTATATATATTTATTAAAACCATAAATATATATAAATACATAAAACATCAAAATTTAAAAAACAT